GTGCAGTTGATCACTTGGTCAAGATCCCTCAGGGCATATGGTTTCACATCCTTGTTTTGACCACTGAGGAAAACCACGTTTTTCTCAAAAATACAGCTGTTAGTCTAGAAGCCAGATTAGAATTAGCACAGTCAGCATATTATGCTTCTGTCTCACTGCACTGAAAGTTTTGTTTTCCTGAGATAGTATAGTAACTTTTTATCCTGCAACTTTGGTATGATGGATTGTTAGTTTCAGGAGTTTTTGTTGATTCTTTGGGATTTTGTACATAGTCATATCATCTGAGAACAAAGTTTTATTTCTTCCTTACCAGTTTGCCTTTTTTTTTCTTGTCAGTGCATTACCTAAGATTTCTGGTACAATATTGAATAGAAATGGTGAGTGGCAACAGTGTTGCTTTGTTTCTGATGTTAGCTGGAAAGGATCTAGTTTCTCACTTCTAATTATACTAGCAGTAGGTTTTCTGTACGTTATCAAGTTGAAGGCATTCCTTTCTTAGTTTGCTGAGAATTTTTATCATGAATGAGTGTTGGATTGTGTCTTTTGATATGTTTATAGGATTTTCGTTTTTGGCCTTTTGATGTGTGATACATTAATTGATTTTCTAATGTTGAATAAGCCTTGCAAACCTAGAGTAAATGCCACTTGGTCATGGTGTATAATAGTTACGCATTGTTGGATTCTATTTCCTAGTATTTTGTTGAGTTTGGTCCTATGTTCATGAAAAATACTGTTCTGTAGTTTTTTTAGTTTTTGTTTATATTGCCTTTTCTCTCCATATGAAAAATTCGTTTAAGTTTTTTAGTCTCTTTTTGTTTTAATGTCATTTTTTACGTATTAACATGTTTCTCTATTTTCAGGGTTTTAGCTTTGATATATTTTTGTGACTTTCCTATCTGGGTTGATATCTAGTTGCTCTGTCCTGTGTTCTAGTCTTGGGTTGTTATCTGATGTTACTGATTTTCTAACCGGAGGACTCCCTTTAGTATTTCTTGTAATTTTGGTTTATTTTTTGCAAGTTCCCTAAACTTCTGTTTAGCTGGAAATGCCCTAATTTTGCCATCATATTTGAGAGACAGTTTTGCTGGATATATAATTCTTGGCTGGCAGTTTTTTTCTTTCAAGACTTCATATATGTCATCCCATTGCCTTCTTGCCTGCATGGTTTTCTGCTGAGTAGTCCGAGCTTATTGTTATTGACTCTCTTTTGTAGATAACTTTTTGTTTATCTCTAGCTGCCCTTAAAATTCTATCTTTGGTTTTTGGAAGTTTGATTAGAATATGTCTTGGTGATTTTCTTTTGGAATCTACCTTAAATGTGGGGTTTGATGAGCATCTTGGCTAGATACCGTCATCTTTCACGATATCAGGGAAGTTTTCTGCCAACAAATTTTTAGCAATTCTCTCTGTATTTTCTTTTATTCTTCCCTGTTCTGGTAGTCCAGTCACTCATAGGTTATTCTTCTTGATAGAATCCCATATAATTCTTAGGGTTTCTTCATTTTTTAAAATCCTTTTATCTGATTTCTCCTCAAATAAGTTGGTGTCAAGTGCTTTATCTTCAGTCTCACTAATTTTGACTGTCATTGCCTTAATTCTGCTCTTCCGATTTTGTATTGAATTGTCTTAATTCTGAAATTTTATTGTTAATTTTCTGGATTTCTGATTGCTGTCTTTCTATGGATTGTTGCAGTCTGTTAAACTTGTGATTATGCTCTTCTCTAATCTTTTTAATTTTCTCTATTATGTGTTCTGCATTTTGCGTAATTTCTTTCGCGATCTCTTGAAAAATTCTGTACATTAATCTTTTGTATTCTGTTTCGGTAATTCCCAGAAATTTTCTTTCTCCAGAAAATTTCTAGGTTCTTTATTTTGGGAGCTTGTTGAAGCCGTTATGGTTTGCCTGTTTATGTGCTTTGATATTGATTGTTGTCTCTGAGCCATCAATTATTTGCCTACTGTGTCTTAGCTTCTTGTTGTTTTGTTTTGGTATGCCCAAATAGGCTGCTCATATGAGTTAGCCCAGTTTCCAGTGCACCTGAAGCTCTAATGTCCTGCCACCAGGTGGTCAGACCTGCCACTGTGTGAGCCCAGGAGTCCACCCACTCCTCCTGTATGGATTCAGCTCAGGTGTCCAGGTAGTTGGCCACCAAGTGTGTGGTGCAGGCTCTCACCTACAGTTCTAGACAGGCATAGGTGACTGGTGTAAGCACAGGCATTTGGCTGCAGCAGGGGGACACAGGCTGAGCAAGGCAAGGGGCTGACAGCCACCCCCAAGTGTCTAGGAGGAAAGCGTGTCCCTGTTCCCTAGAGCGCATAGATGGGTGGGTTTTGCAGCTGGACTGTGAGCACCCAGTACTGTTGGCTTTAACGACTGGGGCGCACCTCTTATTCTTGGGCCCCAGTCGTGGGTGGCTAGGTGGCATGGGTGGAGCCACCAGTCCTCAGGCCCCTGATGTGGGTAGGTGAAGACCCTGCTTAATGGGCAGAGTAGAGTCAAATGTCATGAACTTGCCATTTCATAGCTGAAACAGTTGCTACGTTAGAGTTCAAGTATATACCCTGTTGTACTGTGGTAATGAGGGTGTAAGCTGCTGAAATGGGCCCACACAAGTCTATGCAAGGGGAAGGGCACTCAAAGTCCGTGGATCCCTTATTCCTGTGCCTAGGCAAAGGAGCTGTGCCTACCCTGAATTACTGGCTTAGGGGAGCTGGCAGAGTATTTTTCCCCGTTAATTTCATTCTCCAATGGCAGGAGAATGGCTCAGGGCGCATGACGGGTCCTACTTCTGGCCTAGGGGATTTGGCAGTTGCTGAAGCCAGTCCCGGACCCAGTGCAGAGCAGGAGTGGGGAGGTAGATGGGAGAGAGATGTTTTTGATCCACGCGGTAGGCCAGACGCAAATACTTTTTGGTCAAGCGCTGCTTGTCACTGGTTCTGGATGGCCAAGTAGACTCTCTGCCACTGGGTCTCTCCCAGTGTGGAAAACGCCTCCCGAGCGCCACAGCTTGCCTGCCTCACTACGCATCACGAGCTGATCAAGCCTGAAGGGCTCAGGCTCTCACCAGGTTAGGTCTGGCAACTCCTTGCTGCTTCTGAACCATCTCTCCCCACCCCTTGCCACTCAGTCTGATTCTTCAACTTTGCCTTTGATGTTCAGGGCTTCTAGATTGTCATATATAATCGATTTGCTTGTTTTTTTCGGGTCTTTGTTGTAAGAAGGACTACCGGAAGTGTCTGACTACTCAGCCACCTTGGCCCCGCTGCTTCCTCTGTAGTTTTTCTTTTTGTCTGTTTTTGGTATTTGGGTAGTGTTGACCTCAGAAGTAGTTTGGAAGTATTTCTTTTTCTTCTTTGTGGAAAAGATAGATGAGACTTGGTATACTTTTTTCATTAAATATTCGGTATGGTAGGTTTCAACACTGAACCCATTTGAGTTCAGTGCTTTCTGTTACTTCAGATTTTTACTTATTGCTTTAATTAATAGATATAAGTCTGTTCAGATAATTTATTTCTGTTTTTGTACATTTCGGTAGATTGTGTTTTTCACCTAATTAGTTTATTTTATCTAGGTTATTTGTGGACATAGGTTTATAATAATTTTTTATTATCCTTTTAATGTCTGTGGGATCGATAGTAATACCCCCATTTTTGTTTCTGGTATTAATAATTTGTTATCTTTTATGCTTCGTCTGGCTTGTGGCTTATCAATTTGATTGACCTTTTGAAAACCAGCTTTGGTTTTATTGACTTCATTGATTTCCTGTTTTTGTTAATTTGTTTTCTAATTGCTATGGTTTTTTTTCTGCTTACTTTGGATTTAATTTGCCCTTATTTTTCTAGTTTCCAAAGATGGAAACTCGGATTATTGTTTTAAGATCTTTCTTTTTTGATAGGTGCATTTAGTGCTGTGAATTTTTCTCTAAGCATTGTTTTCTCTGCGTTTCACAATTTTTGATAAGCTGTATTTTAACTTTTCTTAGTTTACTTTCTAATTTTTCTTGAGACTGCTTCTTAGTTGCTTGTTTTGAAATGTGTTTTAATTTTTGGATTTTCCAGCTAATCCTTGTTACTGGTTTCTAGTTTAGATTCGTTATAATCTGAGAGTATAGTTAGGATGATTTGTAATTTTTAAGTTTGTTAAGATATGTTTTTGTGGCCCAGAATGTGGTTCCTCTTGGCGTATGTTCCTTGTGAGCTTGAGAAGAACATATATGCAGCTAATTTTGGATGACATATTCTGTGTCAGTTAGATGTAGTCGATTGATGGTGGTGTTACTTCAACTGAGCTCTTACTGATTTTTTGCCTGAAGGATTACTGATAAAGGAATGTTGAAGTCACTAACTGTAATAGTGGGTTCGTTTATGTCTCTTTGCGGTTGTATTTTTGTCTCATGAAATTTAGTGTTCTGTTCTTAGGCATATAGACATTAAAGATGGTTATGTTTTAGAGAATTCACCGTTTTATCATGTAATGATCCAGTTTATCCCTTATCATTTTCTTGGCTCTGAAGCTTGCTTTGTCTGAAGTTAATGGAGCTATTCCATCTTTATTTTGTGTTTCTTTCCATTTTAAGAAAGGGGTTTCTTAAGTAGACTGCAGTTTATGTCTTTTAATTGGTATATTTAGACCACTGATGTTTAAAATTATTGTTGATTATAAAACCTGCCATTGAGTTGATCCGACTCATAGCTACACTGTAAGATGAAGTAGAACTGCCCCATATGGTTTTCAAAGCTGTAATCTTTATGGAAGCAGACTACCACATTTTTCTCCTGCAGAGCAGCTGCAATATTTTTCATATCGTGCCAGAAACTGGAAGTCTTTATTTGTGGTTTTTATCGTTACTGTTGTTTTTGTATTTTCGTTTTATTTTTTTTATGCTATTGATTTATGCTTTTATTTATCAGTGTCTTAAATTTATATGTTTAGCTTATTTCTAATGACCTTTTCATTTCTAGTAGTAAGCAATGTAATTTTTTTTTTCTGGGCGTGAAAGTCAATGGAGTTCTTTGATTTCTGTACTTCTGTGTTGGGACTTGTTGAAGTTGAACATCTGAAATCCACGTGAGTGTAAAATTGTCTCAGTCTGTTTCTAAGTTTTAAGAGTTGAAAGTGTGATTTTTTTCCTTACCAAGCCAGGTTTCACTATCTGGTGTTTTCAAAAGTGATTATTTTGCTTTTTCTTGCACTAACTCACTGAAGGTAAATAAGTTTGTGTTACTTGCTGCTTATTGTCTTACTGTGCTGCATTCTCTGTAGAACTTATCACCTTGACATCATATCGACTCGATGGCAACAGATTTGGTCTTAGGTTTTTATTTACTGTCCACACCAAAGAATTTACGATCTATGTGTATCCAGATATTTTGTTCACCACTGTATTAACTTTGACCACATGAAGTAGGCTTTGTGTCAGCATTACCTAAATCAATTTCATAAACGAAGGAGCCAGAGGGAAGGGCCTGAAGGGAAGCAGTCTTGCCTGAGATACAGGGCTTTGCCTGAAGGAGCTCCAGGATGTCTGAATCTCCTCCTTAGTATGCAACAGAGCTGTAGATCATCCATGGTGTTATTGCAGAATAACAGCAAAACTGTAAGCATAGGAACAGAAAAGTAGTTTTCAGGAATCTGGACTTCAGAGGCATATTAGTCCTGCATTCTGGCCCTAGGTGAGTAACATTCCAATTTTGTAGCATTGAATATGTGATTTATTGTCTGTAACTTTCCTTAGTTCTGAATTACTTGAGATAATTCTTGCTTAGGAGAATAATTATGAGAGTAAGTAAGCTAGTGTGTCAAGCTTTTTGCTGAACCTTTCGCATATGTACAGTAGTTGTTCAGTAAATGGAATATTTTATTAATGTATTTTAGTAATGAATGTTATGGTTTTTGATGTCTTTAAAATATGTAATCTGGCCCACTGCAATGGAGGAAACTTGAATTTTGGCTGTGGGTCAGATTGTCGTGACACCATCGTATCAGGATTGGTTAGAGATAATCTAGCCCACTTCACTCCCTGCCCTGAGTAGAGGAGCCTTCCTGTTCTATAGCTACTGTGCTTTTCAGCCCAGTAGTAGCATAAAAAATGTAGTGTTGCAGCAGTTTTTGCCATCGCAATATATGGAAGCCAATGGGTTCGTGTTATTTCACACAGACCGGTCTTACAGTCCAAGGGACGCTAGTCGTCAGAGGTTGGGTAGTGATGCTTGTGTTTCTACCAGGAGTTGCAAATGCGAAAATTTTTGGAGTAGAGCCTCTAGAGCTCTGGTATGTAAATCTGTTTCCTAGGATTCACAGGCAATTTAACAGCTAATTTCTCTGCACTTTGGTTAGCTTACTTATGAAATGATTTTTTTTGTACGTATGAGAAAGGATAAAACATTCGCCAGTTCAGCAATAATTTGGTGATATTGATTACATTTATCATGGTTTTTTCAGAGAGAGGGCTCTTCTCTTACGTTAGCCTGTGTTTCTGTGGGTGACTGGTGTATGTTGAGATCGGTCACTAACAAGTGGTGTACAGTAGTATCAAGTCTCAGAAGTTTAATAATTGTGGGGAGATCTGGATTCTCATGTTTTGTGTTTCACCTGAACTGTTTTTTTTTTTTTTTGATACTTTTGGTTGATTCCATGAAGGGAACAGAGAAGATGACAACGCATTTGCTAAATTATTGAAAAACAGGTGACACATATAAAAATGAATAATTCTCAGAATATTCTATTTTCAGCAGGTGGTTTTGTCACCTCCTGATTACTTGGAGTTTTTCCAAGAAAACACAACCTTCTCAGGGGCCTTGGGTTACCAGTTTGTATGGGCATCTGGGCCTCCCATGGATGGTAGTGGCAAAAGGAAAAGTTGCCAGCCCTGCAGTGTTTCCTTGTTGTTAATATCTCATCAGGCTTTCTCCCTGTGGTTCATGTTTTGCTGAGAGTTCTGGTGGGTTTGTGGAAGGATGTAAAATTCATTTTTTCACAAGGAAGTGACGTGAATGTGGAGATAAGACTTTCGTTTGTAGAGCATTTCTCTAATTTTTGCTATGTGTCCTGACTGTTCTAGACCATAAAGATGAAGAATAAGGCTGGAATTGGTCACAGTTAAAGTATGGAGAGAGAAGCTCAGTTCAGTGTGTTTGGAATACTGTTAAGTCTGTAAGACAGGGTGCAGTAAGTGAGGAAGTGAGTGTAGACTATGAAGGGACAAGGCTGTTGGCTAAATCCTAGAGTAGATTTTGGTAGAACATAGAACCTTTTGTTTAATCCCTATGAATTTTCAGTGCCCCCAGACTGTCAGCTTCACCCATCGTTTTGCACACATTGGGGTATGTAGTACCTTGCTGAACCAGAAAATGTGGCATGTTTTAGGACTCAGTGGTCATTGAGGATGTGGCCGTGGACTTTACCCAGGAAGAGTGGGCTTTGCTGGATCTTGCTCAGAGAAAACTCTACATAGATGTGATGTTGGAAACCTTCATAAACCTGGCATCAGTAGGTAAGGATGGTATCATTTTTAAGAAATTATTCATAAGTGTACAAATTTATTCATCGACTTTGCTTCAGTATTTGGAAATGCGTTGTTAAATAGGACAAGCGTGGTTATGTGCCCCTTGGATCTTAAATATCCTGGTTTCCACATAAACATAAAACTGTATTAAACTGACTTTATTTCTTTTGTGCTTAAAGGTGTTGAGGTTAAAAGTGTAGTTAAGTGTGACCATTTGCTTCAGGGATCACATTGGGTCACATAGAAAAGATTTGTGGTCTAGTACCTTGTAAAGAGTTCTGTGTTTATTACAAATTTGACATTATTTTGCTGCAAATAAATTTGCACCTGTTTATCTCCAGAGACTGAGGACCAAAGTATTGCCTCAGTGTCAGGGAAATGTTCATTGCTCTTAACTGTCTTCACTCATATTATGCTTTTCTCCTTGAGCACCACGTCAGCTACATCCATTTGTTCTACTGTGGAAGCAAGAGAAAGTGGTCAGGAGAGTAGAGATAGAATTCATCCAGGGTCACAGTGTTGAGGAAGACTAGGAAGGCAACAATTCTTTGATCCAGCGCTGCATAGAGGAAATTAGATTTGGATAAATCAGAAAAAGTCTTTTGGGTTGAGACTGAACTTCACAGATACCCGAGCTTTTCTGACTTTCATCAGTTCTCTCACAACTGTGTTCATGGAGGGAAGACCTTTCCATTTTTCTGTTACATGTTCATTGAGCATTTCCATATTACATGTGCAGTGTGTCCAGTATCTTTCAACTTTGCTTTCCTAATTACACACTGTCACTGCCACTCAATATTCATTGAAGTGTTTGTTAGTAAATTGCCTCTTGACCATTGACAAAGTCTCGGAACAGCCAAGTGCCTCAAAGTCTGCTCAGAGCTGCCTTTTTCCTCCTAATCATTCCTTTCCTTTTTGTTTCATATTGTAAACCTCAACTTCAATCATTGGGTCAGTTTCTCGAAACCTTAGTGATGGAAAAACGTTTTCCAGTGAACATACAATAGTGCGATTCATGAAGAATGACAGCTGGTCCTCCGTGTTAGGAGACATCTATGAATTGCATGGCATTGAAGACAAGCATAATGACCAGGGGAGTTATTTGAGGTGAGTGCCATTCACACAAGAGAGAGCAGTGCCTCAGTAGAAAGTCTGAAGGAGTCGTGACATTAAAATATAAATATGTGAACTGTCTCTAAATTGTGTTCAGAAATTTTTCACAATAGGGTATTTTCATAAATGTGAGTCACGTATTGAATATTTAAAGTATATTTTACTTACAGATGATTATCAGAAAGTTTGATATTTTGAAAAAATCTGTGACAGTAATGGTAGCATTTGTGCTACATTTAAATTTTGAGACATGATATAATTGAAGACAAAAACATACATGTTTATTGTGTTTGGTAATTGTGAAATGGTAACAAATTTATTTCTAACAGCATATTTCCTGTTTTTAACAGAAGGCATATGGTAGAGAAGTTCCATGAAAATAATGAAGGTAATCATTGTGGAAAATTAAGTCAGCTGCCAAAGCTTACTGTGTTCAAAAGAACTCCTACTGAGGTAAATCCTGAGTGCCTTGAATGTGGAAGAGCCTTCATAGATCATTCATCACATAGGCATTGTATCAGATCTGGATGCAAAAATACTTGTCAGTGTAAGAAATGTGGAGAAGCCTGCAGTTGTCCTTACCTCAGCGCTCCTGTGAATAATCTTAGTAGAGAGAAACCTTATGAATGTAACCAATGTGGGGGAGATTTCTGTAGCGTCCCATCTTTCCAGACACATGTGAGAGGTCAAAAGGGTGAGTATAAAGAATATTGGAGAATCTGTCCCTCATCACTCACTTTACATAAAAAAGTTCATAATGGAGATAAGCCTTATGAGTGTAAGGAATGTGGCAAAGCTTTTCGTCATTCCTCAGCCCTCATTACGCATATAAGAACTCACAGTGGAGAGAAACCTTATGAATGCAAGGAATGTGGAAAAGCCTTTAGTGACCCTTCATCTCTCACTACACATGTAAGAATTCACAGTGGAGAGAGGCCTTATGAATGTAAGGAATGTGGGAAAGCCTTTACTAATTCCTCAGCCCTCACCAGACATATGAGAACTCACAGTGGAGAGAGACCTTATGAATGTAAGGAATGTGGGAAAGCCTTTAGTGATTCTTCATCCCTCACTGCACATATAAGAATTCACAGTGGAGAGAGGCCTTATGAATGTAAGGAATGTGGGAAAGCTTTTAGTATTTCTTCATCCCTCACTACACATATAAGAACTCACAGTGGAGAGAGGCCTTACGAATGTAAGGAATGCGGGAAAGCCTTTAGTGGTTCCTCAGCTTTCACTACACATATAAGAACTCACAGTGGAGAGAGGCCTTATGAATGTAAGGAATGTGGGAAAGTCTTTAGTCAGTCCTCATCTCTTATTACACATATAAGAACTCACAGTGGAGAGAGGCCTTACGAATGTAAGGAATGTGGGAAAGTCTTTAGTAATTCCTCAGCCCTCACTACCCATATAAGAATTCACACTGGAGAGAAGCCTTACGAATGTGAGGAATGTGGAAAAGCCTTTAGTCATTTCTCAAATCTCACTAAACATATAAGAACTCATAGTGGAGAGAGGCCTTATGGATGTATGGAATGTGGGAAACTATTTAGTCGTTCCTCACACCTTATTAGACATATAAGAACTCACAGTGGAGAGAGGCCTTATGAATGTAAGGAATGTGCGAAAGCCTTTACTGATTCCTCATCCCTTACTCGACATACAAGAGTTCACAGTGGAGTGAGGCCTTATGAATGGAAGGAACGTGGAAAAGCTTTTATTCACGCCTCAGTCCTTAATGAACATCATTAACCTCACAGTGGAGAGACTTTTTGGTTGTAAGGAATGTGGGAAAACCGTTCCTCATACTTCCTATGTCACAACACAAAAGAAGTCATAGCGGAGGAAACTATGAATGTAAGTAATGTGGAAAAGTTTTTAGTCATTGCTCTTCTTTCTGTAGACATATAACTTAAAGTGGAGAGTATCTTTCATGGATGTAAGAAATGTGGTAAAGTCTTCAGGTATTTTTCATCCTTTGGAGCATGTAAGTAGGTATACCAGAGAGAAGCAATATAATTTTAAATAATATTGGATAGCATTCATCTATCATCTTTGCCCAAATCTGAAAGTAGATACATGGTACAGAAACCATGTAATTGTAAGGGTGGTAAAATTTTTGGTTTTCTTCCCATAGTTTTAAAGACAGTCAAATTCACAATCATGGAAAAACCAAAAAAACCAAACCAGTTGTTGAGCCCATTTTGACTCATGGCGACTCTATAGGACAGAGTAGAACAGCCTTATAGGGTTTCCAAGGAACGACTGTTGGATTTGAACTGCAGACCTTTGATTTAGCAGCTGAGCTCTTAACCACTGCAACCATGGAAAAACCTCCCTTTATTCACCCAGCTGAACTTGAGAGAAGTCACACTGGGGAGATCATGTGAATATAAGGTACTTGGGAACATCTGTATGTTGTTTTCTCTTCTTAGACAACATGTGAGATATTGCACTGCAGATTGATCTTATGAATGTTAAGGATAAGGGAAGTCTTCAGCGTCCCTCCTCCCTCAATACCTCAAACACTGAAGAGACTGTGACTGTAAGCATTGTGTGAAAACCATTAATCACATTATTTTCCTTTTTGTGCCCAAGGAAATTGATAAGAGCGGAGGCATCTTAACAAAGTTACAAATGTGTAATTTAACACTGCCTTATCCACAGGGGCATTAATTTCCAGTTTATATTTTCAGATGTACACATTAAGGTGAAAATATCTTTCTTAAATTGACTTCCAATTCTGTGGCATGAATTTTGATAAGTACAGTTTGCATTTTGTTTATATAAAAATTATCTTCATTAGAAAGTCTCATAAACATTGGTGTTTCGAAATATTTTCTATGATCAATTGTCAAGTTTTGATATTTTATTGGTATATAAAGTAGTACTCATTGTAGAAAACGTATTTTAACTGAGAAGCGTATGGAAAAGCAAAAATCACTAGAATTTTACCACTCGGGTATTTTTTGAGATTTCCTTGTGTGCAAAGTAATGGTATTGACAGAATTACTGTATGTTTATAGTTGTAGTGGACGTTTTGCATCGCATCTAATTGTCTCAACTGCTGTCATTATTCCTGGATTACTGATGAGGAAATGGCACAGAAAGTTTTAACTGTAATTCCCACCATCTCACAGAAGGGCCCTACTCTCAAATGGCAGTGAGAGTAGCAGGGTTTGCATGGAAGGCCAGCTCATTCTGGGGCCCAAGGGAATGAAATGACACTAAGGGCACCAAAAAATTGGACTTCATGAAAATTAAAAACTTCTGTGTCTCAATAGACATTATCTAGAAATTGAAAAAACAGCTGCCAGAATGAGATAAAATATTTGCAGATCATGTATGTGATAAGTAATATTATCTAAAGTTTTATAGCTCAACAGCTAAGACAAACTACCTAATTTAAAAGTGGACAAAGGACCACAACATGGATAAACCTGAAAAGTTTTATACTAAATGAAGAAAGTTGGACACAAAAGGCCACATGGTGTATGATTGCATTTATATGGAAAATTTAAAGTAGGCAAATCCATAGACAGGAAGCGGGTTGGTGGTCGCCTGGAACGGGAGGGAGGGAAGAATGGAAAGTACCTGCTTTCTGGATACAGAGTCACCTTTTGGGGGTGACGAAAATGATTTGGAACTAGATAGAGGTGATGGCTGCCCAATATATTTAATGTATTAAATACCATGAGATTCACTTTAATATGTTTTTTTGTTACATGAATTACACTAATAAAAACAACTTATAACAAGGCTAAAAACACCAGGGCAAAAGAACATTTCATTGATAAGAGTCAAAGGAGGGGCCTCCTGTGCTGTGCACTGAAGAACAGTAGCTCTCTTTTCCAGGGCACTGCAGGTGCAGGGCCTCTGCTAAGCCAACTGCACTCATGTTGCTTCCAGGCCTGTAGAGCCCCTGCAGGGAGATTGGCCCAGGGGCTCATGGTCAGGAGACATGATACCTGCTGTTGAAGGAGGTCACGAAGGTACAAAAGCCCAAGCACAGGGCCAGCAGTGGGTGCAGAAAAGGGCCTAGGCTCAGGGCAGCTGCCTTCCTTAGCCGTCTGTGGGGCCTGGTGCCAAGATGACCACCTGCAGATTCCATGGATCTGAAAGGTAAGTGGGCGAGTGGGTGTGTGTCCCATGGGAGTCATCAGAGTTTTATGACTGGACCTTGGCATCCATTCTACCTACCAAACGTCCCCGGCGGTGGTGGTGGTGGCAGCGGCACTGAGGCTACCCAGGGGATGGATGGGACCACCTGCGTTCTTGGAGGGTGCCACCTGGTGGGTTCAGAACCACACACAGGAATGGCAGCGAGGGGAGCCCAAGAAAGGAATTGGGAGGCAGAGGGGGCAACTAGCCCAGCTGGGGGTAGGGAGTTCTGTGGGGAGGAGGGCTTCCCTGTCCAGGAAGGAAGCAGTTGGGGAATAGGACTTTGGACACCTGAGTGTAAGTCAAGCACACCCGTAATTGTGGAGCATCTGAACCGTGGTGTCCACATGTCAGGGCGATACTGCACAGGGCTCGGATGTGGCTGGACAGATGGGGGGCATCCCGGAATGCTGGTGTGTACATCCAGATCTCAGGCCCATCCAGGGACAGGATGAGGGGCTGTTACTGCTAGGAATGATTCTCGGCATGGAAGTAACGCGTAGCGCATAAAGAAGAATGACAACCCAGTTTGGGAGGGGGGACACACTAGGGGCCAAAGCCCCACACTTGAGAAGGCTCCAAGCCTTGCAGAAGCTCCGTTTCCTTCCTGGTTCTGTCTCCTGTCCAACTTCACCTAGGCTGCTTCGTGCAGGCCGTTGCCTTGCTCACCAGGGTCACTGCAGCCCTAAAGGATCTCCTGGTCCTGCGTTGGGCTTTGCTCACCCATGCCTCAGGGATCTAGGAGCTTTAGAGCATGAAACTCCGCCCCATCACCCCCTGCTTTGTGACTTCCCTGCTTCCCAGGCGGCCGCCTCTCCTCCAGCTCCCTGCTCCAGCAGCGACTGGACCAGGTTAGCTCTAGCTCCACCCTTCGTTGCCCAGTCGGCCCTACCTCAGGTGACGATTATCAATAACTGGTGCCTGATTTGGGCTGGCAGACCAAGGGGACACCAGCGCAGTCTCGGTGGCCTACACATCCTCAGGCGTTTACCATCAAACTATGAACAGGGAAGCTCGGGGCGTGACAGGAGACAGGTGCCATCCTTGTGCCGGGAGCCGCTAGCTTCTCCCCAGGTACTTTAGGAACTGGGTCAGGAATTTAGCCCACACCCCCGTTCAGGGACTTCAGCCTGTGCCTCTCCCCACGGTGTTTCACCCCTCAGACGCAGAGCTTCAGGCCAAGTCTCCATTCTCAGCTCTCGCCCTGCCCCACCTATAAGGGGGAGTTGGGGACTCCCGGTGACCTGCTGCCGCTGCAGGTTCCCATCCAGACCTGGAGAACACCCAGACCCGTGAGCAGGGCGCCCGAGTCCCTGGCCTATCCGGGCCCAACCACACTCGAACCCCTTCAGATTCAGCTTGTGTCTGAAACGGCACCTTTCATTTCCTGCCCATGCTGCTGTGAGGACAGGTCTCCCACATTTAAATGGGGCTTCTGGATGGTGTGGGGGTGAGGCTGGAGGGCTCCAAGTGGACCCGATTTCTGCTGAGAACTCTGGGATGCTCTGCAGTGTAGTCGAAAAAGATCACGCTATGATTCCATGCATCCTGAACTCAAAATAACCTGGACAAGGATGGGGCTGAATTGGACATTTATCCTGTGATGAAAGAACGTTCCAAGCAAATTAATTGTATCAGCAGTTTACACAGAGTTGGATCCTGTAACAGTCCTCAGTAGACACACTGAGGGGTAATGAAGGGCCCCGGTCTGTTTATTCAAGCAGATCTGTGCACACACTGCTTGTCAACACGTTTTCAGCCTGACTTATTTCCTAGTGAAAAGTAACAAGGTGACGCGGGGTTACTGCAAGACCAGGGTGACCTTTCCAGGCCTCCATATCCTCTCCTCTGGCTAGAGGATGACAGAACTCCCCATGCGCACTGTGGCCTCCTTGGGTACTCCTACCCCTGAGGGAGGTTAAAAGTGAAGCATATGTCACAGAACTGACACTTGGAAGGCCCCCAGAAAATAGAGCACAGGTTTTGGGCCCAGACTGCCCATGACTATGATTAGACTACTTAACGTCCCTGAGCCTCAGTTTTTTCATCCGTAAAATGGGGATGTGGATACTGGCTTCACAGGATGGTGAAGAATCACATGAGATTCCGAATGTGAAGTGTCTACCACGAGACGGGGGGCCCCGCCCTTTCCCCATGCCCTACTCCAGGAAGCGCAGACCTCACACTCTGAACTGGAACCTGGAGCTGAGCCCAGCACCACACTGTCATGTAACAGTGTGCCCACAGCTGGTGCCACTGCCCTAAGAACACAACATTCTCTGCTGGGGGCTTTTAAAAGGAACAGCACTTACTGGAAATAACGTATTGAAAATAAGCTTTGAGTCAAATGTCCTACGGGAGGGCACAAGCCCTTTCAGCTAGATACAGACCAAATACCTCTGGAAGAAGTCCCCCGAGGAGCAACGCTGACCTCTCTCCTGTGGTGAATGAACGGGTGACGCTCCTAGGAGAGCTGTAGCAACGGGCTCTGGCTCAGCTCTGTCATTCTCACTGTCAGGGCCTTGAGTGCTCTTCCCAGCATTATCTGGTGAATCGAGAGCGTGGCTGGGCTCTGGGGACAGAGAAAGCTATCAGTAGTTCGCCTGGAGCGACCGCCTGATGCCCAGATCCAAGGCCACGTGCTCCTCCCATTCCCCACTTCGCCCCAACCCCCTCGCAGGCCTGGCAGGTGTCAGAAGGATGAGGTCTGGCAGAAATAACACTCCTGGCCTGCGACCTTTTTCTCACTTTGCCTTTGTGGTTCCCCCTCTCACCCACCCTCTCCTCAGAGCCCGGATGTCTATGTCCGATTTCTCCTGGGCAATTCCACCTGGGTATCTACATAGAGCACCTCCTCCTGCTGAGGCGGCTTCTCCAGTCACACCACCGCCCCTCTGCCTGTGTCAGCACCTGGGTTCGTCCTTGCCCCCCTTCTCCATGCCCCCGCCCCACCTGGAACATAATTTATCTCTTGAGTCTGTCCCTTTAGCTCCAGCCCCACTGCTGACACCCTGGTTTGATCCTCGCTGATCTCTGCCTGGGCCAGCACATCAGCTTCAGGCAGGCTCCTTGTCACCTGTCACTCCCTGTCTTCATCCCCTTGGCAACCAGGATGACCTTCGCCAAATACAGATGTGATTTGCCACACCCTGCCCCCTCACCACCACTGCCCTCACAGCCTGCTCCTCCTTCCCCACACTCTCTCTGAGGTCCCCACCCACCTGGTGCTCTGGTCACGACGAAGTTCTGCTGCTTCTGGCCCCTGTGCCACTGCTCATGCTGGTTCCTGGGCCTGGAGCCCCTTCCTCATCCCTTACCCACGGCCTGGCCACTTTATCTCGTCAAGCAAAACCTGTTACCGCACTGTCCCTAAGGAGATCTCTAGTGTCTCTGGCTTGGAGTTTTCTTCCTCTCCCTTCATTGAGAGCCCCCAGCAGGCACTGCTCGTGCATCCATCCTCGGCTGCAGCACAGCCTTCCAGGCAGAATGTGGGCTCTTCAGGCCATGCCCAGCTGGACTTTCCATCTCTCCACAACTGCAAGGCACACACAGCCATTTCTGCAGTGTGTGCCATCACCCGGCTGCCAGCCACCCTTGGGTCTGCGCCCTGCAGGCCCAGCTTCATGAAGCCCTTCAACACTAAAACCATCCCTCAGAGTCCGAGGACAGAATGGCTCAGCCTGGACAGCAGGCAGGTCCAACATGAAGCCATTGGCAGGGGGAGGGGCATATTCGTTCTTGGTGCCTTGATTGGTGACCAAGCACTGGAGGAAACCAGTCTCCTATGGGCAGGACCCCAGTGTGGAGGCCAGGCCACCCACTAGCTCCATGCTGGGCTCTCCAGTCACTATTGTCTCAGGTTCTGCCCTGGCTGAAGCCTCCTCCCCATGACTGACAGTCTAGGAAGACAGACACATGTCTTGAATCACTAGATCAGGAAGTGTCAGAGAGGTAGACTCAGCAGAGACCATCCTGCCCCACACCCGTGCTCCACAGACAGTAGAGATTAAGTCCCAGAGGAGGAAAGGGACCTCCCCAACGCCTGGCCTGAAGTGAAAAATGATCCTCAGGTAGGTGAAGGGGCTTCTGAGGTGCTGCTCTCAGGGTGTGCAGTGAGTATGGGCCCTTCCTATTCCAGGTCACAGCGCCTGGACTCTCCACACCTGCATCACCCTCACTCCCCCACTCACTCTCACTCCTGCACACTGAGTCTGTGCTGATATACATGCCAGATTTCAGACTTAGTATGGCAAAAATTCTATATATCTAATATTAAAAAAAAATTACATGTGGAAATACGATTTAAACATAATAAACTAAATAAATATGAAGAAGAGGGCATCAAGTATGGAGGAAGACTCATTAACAACCTGCGTTATGCAGATGACAACCTTACTTGCTGAAAATGAGGAGGACTTGTTGATTGTGGATCCAAGTAAAATGAAATCCATGACAACTTCAATCTTTTCTCCGTTTATCTTGATGTTGCTTATTGGTCCTGTTGTGAGGATTTTTATTTTCTTTATGTTGTGGTGTAATCCATACTGAAGGCTGTGGTTTTTGATCTTCATCAGTAAATCCTTCAAATCCTCTTCACTTTCAGCAAGCAAGGTTGTGTCATTTGCATATCCCACGTTGTTAATGAGTCTTCCTCCAATCCTGATGCCACGTTCTTCATATAGTCCAGCTTCTCGGATTATTTGCTCAGCATACATATTGAATAAGTATGGTGGAAAGATATAACCATGAGGCACACCTTTCCTGACTTTAAACCACGGAGTGTTCCCTTGTTCTGTTCGAATGACTACTTCTTGATCTATGTACAGGTTCCTCA